CTTGGTCCTTAGAAATGCTCAAGACCTGGTGAGAGATGTAAATGTGATAGCATCAATTGGGAACAGTGACCATAATGCTGTTAAGTTTAGCACTGATGCAAATAGAGAGTTTCCCAAAAAGACCAACACAGCCACATTTAATTTTAGAAGGGGTAGCTTCTCTCAAATGAGGGGGCTTGTGAAGAAGAAACTGAAAGGAAAGACAAGGAGTGGCAAATCCCTCTAGAAAGCTTGGAGACTATTTAAAACTACAATATTGGAAGCTCAGATAAAATGTATACTACAGATTAATAAAGGTACAAATAGGTATAAAAAAGGCCTGCATAGTTAAAAAACAAAGTAATGGAAGCAGTAAAAGTAAGACGGATTCCTTTAAGCAGTGGAAGGCTAGTGTGAGGTAAATAAAAGGGAGCACAGGCTTTGGCAAATAATGCAAGTTGGTGATCAGAGAGGCAAAAAGGGAATATGAGGAACATATTGCAAAAAAAAAAAAGACCAACAATAAAAATATCTTCAAGCACATTAGTAGCAAAACCCTTGTCTCAGTAAACTTATAGAGTTCTTTGAGGGGATGAACAAGCATGTGGGCAAGGGTGACTGCTGTGAGCAGTGGAGCTATGTTCCCACGGATCAAAATCCTGCGGACCATGCAATGCATTCTATCCTGGCATCTCAGCTAGCTGAGTCAACCTGGCTAAAAGGCTCTGACCTCCTCCTTCACCCAGACAGACCTTTGAAACATGAGGAGGAACACCATGAGCTCCTAGACCCAGATGAGGACACTGAGGTATGGCCTCAAGTCGTTTGCATGGCAACAAAGATTGAGACGAGACGCCATCTGATAGAGGTACGATGCTTTGAACGCTTCTCCCATTGGACACCACTCGTCCTAGGAATAGCACGCATCATCCACTATTTGTATCACTGAAAAACTGAGCTGACCCGGCTAGATGAACAGCGTTGGCAGAGAAGCTAATCCTATGTATGCAATGTGAGTCTTATTTACAGGAGTTCGAGTGTCTCAAAAAGGAAAGAACAGTACCAAAGACCAGCCCCCTCTTCAGGTTAAGCCCCTTCCTTGATGACAATGGGCTACTCCGAGTAGGGGGACGTTTGAATATGGCTGATGTGGCACCAGCAGTGATGAATGAATCCAATCATTCTCCCAGCTCGGCAGCACATCACCCTCTTGCTGGTGCAACACTACCACGAAAGGGTTCGTCACCAAGGACTCTCACAGAAGGAGCCATCAGGGCAGCAGGCCTGTGGATCATCGGATCGAAGAGATGCATTGCTGCGGCACTTCAGAGATGTATACAGTGTTGTAAACTCAAGGGGCTCTATCAGCAGCAGAAAATAGCCGATCTACCACCAGACCATCTCAGTACAGAGCCCCCCTTTACCAACATAGGCCTTGAAGTGTTTGGCCCCTGGAGTGTGGTGACACGCAAAACTAGGGGAGGGCAGGCCAACAGCAAGCGTTGGGCCGTGCTCTTCACGTGCCTGAGTATCCGAGCTGTCCACACTGAGGTGATCGAGTCCATGGTCTCAAGCTTCATAAATGCCCTTAGGAGATTTCTTGCCATACGTGGTCCTCACCCAGAATTGTACATGGATATTCAATTGTCCTCATGCCTCACATATGGGAGGAGGATGGGAGCACATGATAGGCATTGCATGCAGGATCCTAGATTCCATGTTGGCAGGAGCACCTTTCCTCACGCACGAGACGTTGTCTACTCTCCTAGCAGAAGTCTCTGCCATCATCAACGCCAGACCTCTGGTTCCAGTGTCTTCAGATCCTGAGAACTCAACCATCCTGACACCAGCAACGTTGCTGACACTAAAGACAGGTGAATGGCCAGCACCTCAAGGGACCTTTGTGGCCAAAGACATGTTCAACAACAATGGAGGCAAGTTCAACTTCTTGCAAAAACGTTCTGGAAGCGTTGGAAGCAAGAGTATCTTCCGATTTTACAAAGCCGACGCAAGTGGGAAATGGACAAGCCTAACCTGCAGGAAGGAGATGTCGTCCTGCTGAGGGAGAAAGATGCACCCCGCAACTTGTGGCCCATAGGTCTTGTAGATTGGGCCTTGCCTGGCGAGGATGGACTGGTCTGCAAGATTGAACTCCATGTTGTCACACGCGATGGCCCACAGAGCCACCCCTGGCCGACTAAGACTTTCACCAGGCCAATCAAGTGATCCTAATCTGCACCAAAGAAGAACTCAAAGACTGAAGACAGAAGACTCAAGTTTTGCATGCCTTAATTTTCTGCCTAGAACATAGTTAGCAGCATAGCATGCCCGTTCTGTGTAGTTATAAAGCTTCATTAGCAATGCATGTGGGTAGGGTTCCAGGCGGGGAGTGTTCTGCCCCCAGCCAGCGTTAATGTACCTTTAAGAGTAGTTGCACCTGGGAAAATAGATAAATGTATATGAATAACAGTTGAAAGATAAGTTACCTATAAATGTATTATGAAAAAGAGAGGTATGAAGTGAATATAAGAATTGAGCTGGAGGTTGGAGCACTATGGGAAGCAGAAAAGGGGGGGGGAAGAGGAGGAAAGGATGTTTAACGATGTAAGTATTGGTATATGTTTAACTTTTTAAATATATCCTAACACATTGTTTTTTTAAAAAAAAGAGTAGTTGCACCTGGGAATTGGAGTCCACAGTTAGGGGTCCCAGAAGCTTCCCTCTGACTGGCTCATTAAGAGTAATTTCCTGAGCTCAGAGGAGCAAAGATAGGAGTTTTGTTTTCCATTTCTTTGTCTATCAACCCTTACCGCAAGGAGAAGGGAAGCCCATCTCTTTTCTCACCACGGCCATAGGATTGACCTAGATCAGAAAGATGTAATGCTCTATCCAGCTATCAGTTCGATTGTGAGGGTTAGGTGGTGGGGTTAGGGATGCCAGACTCCAGGTGGGACCTGGGGATGCATGTGAAGTTAAATAAAGACGATTTAAACTCTCTTCAGTGGATGTGCGTTGACTCACACCTGGAAAGCGTTTGCCTCAGCTGCAAGCTCATGCTAGACAGGACAGTGACCCAGTAGATGTTGTTTACCTAGACTACCAAAAAGCTTTTGATAAAGTTTCTTATCAAAGGCTACTAAGTAAACTCAGCAATCATGGGATAAGAGGACAAGTCCTCTTGTGGATTAAAAACTGGTTAATTAACAGGAAACAGAGTATAAATGGGCAGTTTTCACAGTGGGTTAAGCAGTGGAGAACTACAGGGCTCAGTACCAGGTCCAATGCTTTTTAACTTGTTCATTAATGATTTGGAGTTGGGGAGAAAGCAGTGAAGTGGCTGAGTTTGCAGATGACAGTCTGAATCTAGCATTTGCTCTGCTGTTATACCAAACCCACACTAGAACAGAAATTCCTGTCTACATTGCATGCCACTTTCACTTTGTCACATTTTATGGCAGTGTCCAGACTGCATGCTGCTTTCACTTTGATCTCTGATTTTATTGTGGCTGTCTGCATAGATTTATGGCTGTTTTATGGCCATTGGGGGGGGGGTGACTCTGCAGTCAGTATGGTGTTGGCCCGGGGTAGCTGAATGTGGTTTTGAACTGCATCTTTTTCTGTTCCAGTGTGGGTTTGGTAAAACAACTGAGCAAATGCTAAATGCAGATTGGGCCTAAGTTGTTCAGGGCAGTGAGAACCAGGGAGGACTGTGAGGCACTCCAGAGAGATCTGTCAAGGCTGGGTGAGTGGGCATCAACATGGCAAATGAGGGTCAATGTGGGCAAGTGCAAACTAATGCACATTGTAACCAAAAATCCTAACTATAAATATACATTGAGGGGGTTTGAACTGGTGGTAACTGACCAGGAGAGAGATCTTGGAGTTGTGGTAGATAACTCATTGAAAATGTTGACTCAGAGTGTGTCTGCAATAAGAAAGGCAAATGCTATGCTGGGGATTATCAGGAAGGGGATTGAAAATAATTCTGCCAGTATCATAATGCCCCTGTATACATCTATGGTGTGGCCTCATTTGGAACACTGTGTGCAGTTGTGGTCATTGCCCCTCAAAAAAGATAGCATTGGAAAAAGTGCAGAAAAGGGCAACTAAAATGATTAAAGAGATGGAACACTTTTCCTGTGAAGAAAGGTTAAAGAGGTAAGGGCTCCTTATCTTGGAGTAACGATGACTGAGGGGTGACATGATATAGTTTTACAAAATTATGCATGGGACAGAGAAGGTAGAAAAAGAAGTACTTTTCTCCCTTTCTCACAATAGAAGAACTCATGGACACACAATGAAATTAATGAGCAGTATATTTAGAACAGATAAACGTGAGTACTTCTTCACCCAAAGAGTAATTAACACATGGAATTCACTGCTGCAGGTTCTGGTGGCTGCTACAAGCATAGACAACTTCAAGAGTGGATTGGATAAACTTATGGAGCAGTGGTCCATCAGTGGCTATTAGCCACGAGGTGTAGATAGAACACTGTGTCTAGGGCAGTGATGTTCTGTATTCTTTGTGCTTGGGGAGCAGCAGTGGGAGGGCTTCTGGAGTTCTGGCCCCACTAGTGGACTTCCTGATGGCACCTGGGTTTTGGCCACTATGTGACACAGAGTGTTGAATTGGATGGGCCACTGAACTGATCCAACACAGCTTCTGTTATGTTCTTATGTTACTAGAATTTTGCTTCCTTTTAGCTGGTGATGCTGGATAAGCAGTGGGTATAGCAGAGCCTCTCCAACCTATACTGCTTCTGGCCAAGTCTGAACTAACCCCCTGAAGTGCTGGCAGTGCCAATTCCATGGGAAAGTGGTGACATGTGATGTAACTGCTTGGGGTGACAAAAATACCTCACATGGTCCCAGGAGGTGGTCTTGTCCCACCATCCTCCACATCCTTCTTAAACCACCTCAGTGGTGAAACTACTGGCCATCTAGAATTGTAGACGGTTGAGAAAACACATTCTACACTTAAGGGTTCTGCAGTGGAAGCCCTCCAGATTCAACCTGGCAGAATGGAACTCACCAACGCTGAAGCACCAAAAGCAGAGGACGCCCTGGTGTTCAGCCAAGCCAGAAAGTGCAACCTGCCACTTCTGCTGGGCCTCCTGCATGGTGCCTTATGGGAACAGCCAGACCTGATTTCTCCTTCTCTCTCTTGATGTTGTAGATTTGCTCAGAAGCATGGCCCAGATATTATTGATGACAGCAAGGACAACATCACCATCTTTACACGCATTCTCGACCGGCTGCTGGATGGATATGACAACCGGCTGCGACCTGGGCTTGGAGGTCAGGCAATTGCATGGGGCTTGTGTGGACTGCATGCTAATTTGACCTTGTTTGATGTCTGGTTGCTCTCTGCCCCCTAATAAATTATACAACCTCCGCTAGGGCCACCAGGTCCTCCCTGGCCACTGGCTGGGAATGTGTGGTAGGGTTGCCAGATCTGGGTTGGGAAACTCCCAGAGATTTGGGGATGGAGCCTGGTGAGGACAGGAACCTCAGTGGGATACAATGCCATAGAGTCCTCCCCCAAAGCATCCATTTTCTCCGGAGGAACTGATCTCTGTAGTCTGGAAATGGGCTGTATTTCAAGGGGATCCCCAGGTCCCACCTGGAGTCTGGCATCCCTAACCCCACCACCACCAAAACCTGAGCTGTCCCACAACCTCTTTGTGAGTAGGAGGGGCTCCTCTTAGTTCCAAAGCTATGTCTTCTGGAAGCTGGCTATTAATCCCAGCATTTGTTGGAAATTCTTTCTGGAGGAATGTGATTTCCTGGGAGCATCTCCAGCAGATTGCTTTAGGCCCTTCTGCCCAACTGTTAAGATAATGAATTGTTTCTCTCAGACCCAGTGCAGGCTGTTTCAAGCTGCTGCCTCCCCATTCCCCCCCCTTTCATTCTTGCTGAGCTTCTGAATAGCTGCTCCCAGCCAGGAACCGAGACAAAGCTTTAAAAGGAGCTGGGAGCCGAAGTTGTTAGTCCCTCAGCCACAAGGCCTGATACTGCAGTACAGACAGACAAGATGGTTACAACACAGCAGATTGTTTGCTGGTGGCCTTTGCTTCAGAGCATGCCCCCCCCCAGACAAAGCCTTCGATAACATAAAGAATAAATCATCTCTGTTTCTGTCTACCCAGGGAAGCCCCTCAGAAAAAAGGACTGGGAGTTGGTCCCGAGGCCCCTGAGCAGCATTTTTATGGGGGGAAAGCTAAGGAAGATGGGGGTGCTCTGTTGGTTTCAACTGTGGCCAGTCATCACAAAGGCAGTGACAGAGAACACTGTGCCTCATGCTCCAACCATGTCACATGCAAATTGATCTGAGAGGGGTTGAGAGGGCACTGTGCTGACCCTGAAACAGACTCTTGCTTCCCCTATCAACTGTAGGGATGGAAGGAAGTAAACTTCTTGTGGGAATGAGAAAGCAGGGAGGTACCTGAGACAGTTGGGCTGCCTCTATAGACTGCGGATATTTCAGTGCATTTTTAGGACGCTTTACCACATTGGGCAGCAGCACAGTCACGATGCTTCCGTGCAATTTTGTCTTCGTTTCCCCGTGCCTGAGAGATAAAGGTCTGCCCAGCGTGGCCACTAAGAATTCCAATACAGTTCTCTAGGTGCCTTCATGTGTTTGTGCTAGAATTGTCTTAATGGGGATGTAAATCCTGCAACAGTCTGCAAGTTTGCCTCACATCCCTTCTGCAGCCCATCCCACATGAACAATCATTAGACATGGAACAATGGTGTCATGTGAGAAAACGGCTTCGGAGTCTATGAAACCAGCAGTCTGTGTCTCTGAAAGACAAAGTGAGGGCAACTAGAGAACCTGAGAAGGAGCCATCAGAGGCAGGTGGCCCAGACCTCGACTTGGACGTAGCAGCTATCCCTGCTGCCCACCCATCTCCACACATTAACCTATGGGAAAATGGAATTGATCCCATGGCTGTGTCATAACATGAAATACAGCCCTTGAGTCTTCTTTACTCAATCTCTGCCTCTGACATGAAGTCATTAACATATTTCCCAGTAGCACTTTCATGCATAAATCTAGAGACTATCTACAACTATGAGCTTGTACAAATGATCATCTGTGGGCTGGCCATAAAATGCTAATTGTAGGTTGATGCCTCAGGATACTGAAGGAGAAGGAGAAGGGATTAAACTCTTCTACTTTCACTTGAAACTATTTGCTATTAGCATAACATTTAAGGTGGTTTTTTTTTAAATTAAAAAGTAAAAGTTTTTCTTTGTTAACGTGCTAACTACAAAGCAAGAGAGCCTAGCTGCAAATAGGGCCAAATTTCCTTTCCCTTCTCTTTATGGCCCCAAGGCAAAGCGAGACTGCAGGAGCCTGAAGATTGTATTTTATGAACCAAAGAGACATGTCGTCTTCATCTCCTCTGTCTGAACTCTTTGCAGGCCTGTGAGGGGGATAGGGATTTTCAACAGAGAAGTCTCAGTACCCATACAGTAACTGAACTACAGTTCCCACAGTTCTTTAGTGGAAGCAAAGCCAACAGGCGTTTTCAGCTTATATATGAAGTACAATTGTGTCTCCCTTGTGCCGCGGATGTCATCATGTATGAGAGAGAATTTGGATGAAAAACAAAGCATACATTTCCTGCAGGTTTTACGTTTTACTAGACATCAACATAAAACAACATTGATTTAAGCTTCATATGTTTAAATGACCTAGAGCACTGTGGTGATGAAAAGAAAATGGTGGGTGTGAGGGAGAGACAAACAGAGAGAGGCCTTGTGGCACTCTTAGCAGCCAACTGGTAAATAATTCACAAGGCATCCAGATCAGGATGAAAATTTCAAGTTCTGTGTGGAAACTCTTTGTCAGCTTGCCAAGGATGCCACATGGTTCTGCGAAGCACCTGCTCTCTGCATGGAGAGCCTGGGTTGGCTGGTGTTGGATATGTGTAAACAGGCCATCTGTGTTGATGTGCTACTTCTTGTCCCTTCATGTTTGTTTTCTTAGCCCCGATATTTCCCCATCTGCTCCCGCCTACTCTGATGACTCCTCTAGCCTGACGTATCCAGGAAAATGGTATGGTCCAAGTGCATGGGTGTGTCTAGCATCACCACACACTAGACTCCTGGCTTATGGCCTAACAGAATCACAATGGCAAGGAGCATGTCTGGTGTGACCTTGTGAAATTAGGGTAGATTTTGAAGGAAGAAAGCTGAAGTGGAATTGAGGGACCCACAAGGAATGAACTGATGCATTTACTATTGTGCCTTACATCTGTGTCGTTCTCACTTTCTCTGACACACACCTCCAGTCCTTTGCTTCTGCAGAGAAAAAGGGGCTGGGTCTCCTTAGCAACCTAATCCAGCCTTGTGAAGGGTGATAAAGCACATTAACTGAAGCAGGGAAAAACTAAGGCTACAGTCCTGTGCGTACTTATCTTGATTCTAGAACTTGGGCCTGTCTAACAGGGTGATCCTAAGCAGAGTTACATCCTTCTAAGCTAAGGTAGCCAACTGGACCAGAAATATTTATTTATTTCTTATATTTATAATCCGCCCTCCCCGCAAGCGGGCTCAGAGCGGCTCACACTGCCTGGCTCAATGCCAGATTCATATATAACACATTTAAACTTAAAACACTATTAAAACATTTAAAAACATTTAAACAATCAAAATTTGAATAAAATGTACTCTGTAGTTGTTCACCAAGAAAAACGTTGTGCCTCTTGAATAGAGCTTTAAAATGCTTTTATAAGCTTTTAAAGGCATGGAGCTAAATAATGTCTCTTGATAACAGCTGTGGATAAAAGGGATGGGTAAAGGAACCAGTTTAAAGTTGGCAACTTCTGTCTTCAGTGGATTTAGGTCTGTTTAGGATTGCTCTATGGGTGCGTTCAGACGGGGCATTTGCAACGGAATAGGTGCCGGTTGGATGGCGAACATCTGCCTTCCGTCCCTAACCGCTGCAAAGAGCTTTACACCGTTGTATTCTGCCACTAGGTCCCCAAGTGGTGGTATCCTGAGTACAACGGTTGTAATCGCTTTACCCCCGTCTGATCGCTCTCCAACGTTGCAGAGCCACTTCCGTTCAGAAGCCTGAGGCTTTCGATTTTTGCCCACCATTTTTTTAAAAGGTTGGCGATATGCGCTTGGGCGAAGCTTCGCCCTGGCGTTTGTTTAAAAGAAAAGAAAAGGGCCTTAGTTTAGTGTTTCGGAGGTGTCCAGGACCTCAGGGAAGCTACTTTGCTCTTTAAACTTTAAAGGTAAGTCCTTATCTTTAAAGTTTAAATGTAAGACAGGTTTTTTTGCGCATGCGCAAAGATTGCCATTTTGTGGATGGCTGCCTATGCGCATGCGCAAACTAAGTAAAAAAAACGCCGACGCCCGCTGTGTGTGGACGGGCGTATTGCGATGTGCTGCGCAGACAGGAGGTGAGTGTGATTGCGTTTCAGCCAGCATAAACTGCACCGGTTCCAACCGGTACAGTTTATGCCGGCTGAAACTCCCCGTCTGAACGCACCCTATAAGTCACATACTTTTATACCTGTGGTCAATTCTTTGCCTTTTTGAGGAATCTGTCACTTCTCCTTGTTCCTCAGATAAGTGCTGCAAGCGACCTAAAAAGAGTGCACTTCTATACACATATTTCCTCCCTCCAGAGGTCCATGATTCTTACCAGGAAACAGAAGCAACAAAGAAACTGAGTCTGTCTGTGAAGTTCACTATTTACAGAATTGATACCACAAATATAAGCATTAGTAATGGGCAAGGCCTGATTGAAATGAGACTCACTGGTGCTTGGGGTGGTGGTAACAGGAGGTTGGTTCAAGATAGGCTGAGGTTTAGATGAGTTTGTGCCTTGGACTGGGTGTATTAGTGTTCCCCCTGCCCCATTCTAAAGTGCACTGTAGAGCACTCTATATAATTGTGCTCCAGCTTCATGTTGTAAAACAAGGACAGCTCCTGACAAACTACTTGCACTTGTAAGGATGGTGCAGAATAGTAGAATCAGAGGAAAGTACAGCAGGGCTAACTGTTAAATGCAGAATTCTACTGTACTTGCAGGGCTGTGGGAAATGAATTTCTGGAAAAGCTGTGACTGTTGAAGAGGCAGCAGGAAATGGGGACTCAGAGCCGCCATCTCCAGGATTTCTCCTGACTGAATGTATATGCACTCAAGTCTCTGTGGCTCTGCAGACCACTGTGTTAAGCTTCTGGCACTGCAACTGTGTTACAGAAGTGTGTAATGCGAGTTAGTTCTGTGGAGTTTTATGAGTTAATTTTTCTGTAGTGCAGTGGAACTTTAGAAG